GGAGGGAGGGAGGGAGGGAGGGAGGGATCTTCTCTTTTATAGATGGATGTGGGTGCTCTGTTGCAATCTGCTCCTTCTGATTTGTAGATGTTTAATGGAACCTTCTGGTTTGGTCACAGAGTTATTCAATGTGGTCTGCTCTTTCCATGATTTAACAATGTTACAGAACCTTAGTCTGTTTAAGGGAACATGTGTCCTTTCTGGTGCAGATTGAGGTTGAATTAATGGGTAGTTGGAAGGTGCCACTAATTTTTCCTACTTCTTTACCTCTGTTGTTTTGGTTTGTCTGTCCTACTTTTTCACAGGAATAAAAAATTGTTATTGCATTGATGTACCTCTCTTTACTGTAACTGATGATCGGACATATTACTTGTCCACTTTTCTTTCTTAGTTTCTGCTGTTTCTAAGTTTCGTTCTGTATGGTCTGTTCAGTTGCTGGATAGATTTTAGTGTTAAAAATTTGAGGCTTGTACTGTGGGGATAAAGTTTTATTATGTCTTTCCTCTGCTTCCCGGATGTGTGTGTGTAGGCCAACAAGTTCAATGGTTCGGACGTGCAAGTCATCCAGCGGACATACACCCAACCGTTTGACCTGCAAGTCTTCCACAAGATGAGGCAACCAGAAAGTGAGGGATTTTTTGTTTGTTTGTCTTTTTTCATATGCCCTGCTTTATTTTGGGAGTGAGGGGGGAAGGAAATCTAGAAAAGGGATTAGAGGATGGGGATGGCATTCTATTCCTGTCAGCATAGGTCAGTTGCAAAATATGTAGTAAAAGAAAATCGTCTATGTCTGATAGCTCAATGGAGTCTCACGATATACCTATATGTGGCAGTCTAGCTTTGCATTGGTGATGTGCAGCATAAATAAATGTGGGGACTATTACTGCACTCTAGTTGAACACACTGTAGGGTTACAATAATGCGACACAGGGCGTTTGCTTGCAGATTTAAAATCGTACAACACTCAGTTAATCTTTTCTATTTCACCGATGTGTGGTTTGTAGATCACAATACTTCCAATGGAGTTGTTTGTTATTTTGGTTCTCATTAATAGAGCTACTCCTGTACTTCTGTTTTAATAGTGCTTGTAAATTTAGACAATAATTTTAAAGTTTAGATTTTATTCCAAGGGTAGGTAGAGGCTTGATTATCTTAAAAGCACTTTTAAAAACTTCTTGTGTGACATTTCAGTTCACTTTTTTAAAGTGTTTTATTGGAATGTTCAGTCTTTCTAAATTATGTTACTGAGCACCATTCTCCCAGTGTTGTCCCAGACTGGAACCACTCTTCATAAGAGTCTCCTCCTCATGATTTATGTTGATGTCTTCTCCAGGAAGACCTAAGGGTGCTGGAAATGATGTAAATGTTGGCCCTCAACTGTCTTTATTTTTTTTACCTCCTGTCAGTGTTCAACCCATGTAAAGATTCTCGCTGCAGCCACCTGTGTCTTATTGGTGACAAACTGATGCCGGTCTGCGGTTGTCCTCACAGATACAAGCTGTCTGCCGATGACATCACGTGTGAACGTAAGATGTGCTGTTCATTACACACTCAGTTCATGCTATAATATTTGCTTTTTTGTAATGCAAATAATAATTGTTTGCATTCACGTAGTTTCCTAAAATAATTGTAGCTTTTTATGACTTATGTTTATTTGCAGAATGTAGAAAGGATTTGCTTAGAAAATGAGACAAACACATTATGCCAGGCAGACAAGTTGCATGGATAAGATGGGGGAAGGATGGAGGGGTGGGGAAGGGGGTTGGAGATGGGGGAGGGGGGAAGAGATGGAGGAGGAGATAAAAAGATTTTGGTAGGAGGCTGTAGATATGGTACTGACTTCAATTTGACCTGAAATGTGTCGAGTAATGAGCTCTATTGATACCTCAAAGGTGATCACAGGGAGAAGAAATAATGGCCTAGCTCAGCTCTGACATTTTGTGCTTCAGACTGTTGTGGCGGGAAACTAAGATCTGATGAAATATGGTAAGATAAGATGATACTTTATTGTCCCTGTAGCAAATTTTTCTGTGGCTGTACAGGAATGGTAAAAAACACATGTAGACTTATGTATAGAATTTATGTTATGTATTACGTTCTATAAAATTCAATGTGAAGAGAAAAATAAGTGGAAGAATTACTGGTCATAGTTTATTCTGTTTGCTTGTGTGTGTGTTTCAGGGGACAACACATTCCTTCTTTTTGCCAAAGAGAATGAAATCCGGGGTGTGGATCTGGACAACGCACACCACAACGTTATCCCATCTATTACTGTGCCTTTTGTGGAGAATGCATCTGCCATCGACTATATGGTAGGTCTTATCAATTTTGTGGTACCCCATCAGTAATGTAATATGTCTTATCAGCTGTGCAGTACACCTGCACCATCAGCTCTTTTAAGTTTTTTTGCCCATGTAGATTACCGTTGACTGAAGATTATGTTTTCTTTACTTTGAAGTTCTCAGTGGACTTTATAGAGTATGTTTAATTTCCTTTGTGTGAAGAGAGGGATACAGCCTCTTTTTCCCATATTTCTTTCTTTTAAAAAAAAAAGTAAGTCCAAGTTTATTGGTGAATTGATAATTTATGTTCGTCATGTCGTCTCCCCTCAATAGGAGGAGCAGCTGTACTGGACTGACATGAAGAAGAATGTCATTTCAAGTGCTTTCCTCAATGGCACAGGGATCACAACTGTCATTGACTCTGGTATGTAGGTGTGTGTGGAAGTATATGAAAGAGAGAGATGGAGGGAAGGAGGAAGAGAGAGATATGAGGGGAGAGGAAGAGAGAGAGATGAGGGGGAGAGAGAGATGGTGAGAGAGAGAGAGGGAGAGAGAGAGAGAGAGAGAGAGAGAGAGAGAGAGAGAGAGGGAGAGGGAGAGGGAGAGGGAGAGGGAGAAGAAGAAGAAGAAGAAGAAAAAGAAGAAGAAGAAGAATCTTTTTTTTGACAGAAACAGATGAAAAGTGTGATTTTTTCCCTCTGTTGTTTTTGTCCATCAGTCTTACCTTTTTTTTCTTCACCACTTTAAATGTGTCTATTTGCTTCTCTTTACTTTAACAAACATTAAGTTGGATGTCCTAGTTTTGTTTGAGTGAGGGTAATACAGACACAGACTGCAATATTCATCTCATTTTTAGTTTTGGTAAAAAGTTCATGTTTATGGGGGAGCTTAGGTTAGTCTGTTGTAAAAACCATCCAGCAAATGGAAATCTGAAGTAGTGTGAGCCCTTGTGGAAAATTACATGACTATCAAATACCATTTTCCCCTCTTAACGGCAAATGACAGTCTGATTGTAAGCAGTGGTCAGCCTGACTGAATCCTGTTGTGGATGGTTGGCTGGTGCTTTTGGTGTGGTTTGCTCCTTCTTTTCTTATCAGATACCTATTGCCCTTATTTCTTCTCCTTTTTTTGTGCATTTGTTGCTGTCTTGTGATATAAGATAAGATGAGATAAAATAACACCTCTAATCTTAAGAATTCATATGACGTTATTGTGCTGTGAATGCTGTAACACTCTTACTTTAACTAAAGAATCCTTTCATTTACGTTTCAGGGCTGTCCAACCCGCTGGCATTTGCCATTGACTGGATGTCTCGCAATATGTATTTTTCCTCCTACACGGAGACCGAAGCCTCCATCTCTGTGGCTCAGCTGGATGGAGCTTATCGCAAGGAGATTTACAAGAAAACGTACTCCAAGCCAAACTCCCTGGCTATTCATCCATCCCTGGGGTGAGTGCTTTTGGATCACGATTGTACTGTTTTGGGTAATATGTGCCACGGAGCAAACAAGTTTCTGGTTCTAAGAAAATTCTCTGTTCGTGCTTTGCTAACATTTTGTTCTTAATGCTGTTTGAACTATTCCTAATTCTTTAATCACTTTGTGGTCACTTGCCGCAATAATGCAGTGGTGAAAATTATCCATTCCAGTAACTAGATGCAGTTCTGCGACAGGCCCGAGAAGTCTGTTGCAGTCACTCTCCTGGCTGGGTGACCCGATGGGGTATTTTGTACTGCTGGCTGTGTGACTGCAAAGTGTTAATGTCTTTGAAAAACACAAATATTTTGAGTGTTATGAATGTTATCTTCAGACCGTTTTTTTTCTTCTTTTTTTGATATTTTACTTTTGATGTTGGTGAAATGAAAACCTGCTTCTTATGTTCGATTGTGTGATGAAACCCCTGATCTTGTTCCAGGCTGATGTTCTGGTCTGATGTTGGTGGTGAGGCTCACACCATTTGGAAAGCTCGCATGGACGGCCAGCATTCTAGGGTGTTTGTCACTGGAGACGAGGTCCAGAAACCAGCAAGTGAGATGCCCGACTGTTTTTTGTTTTTTTCACTTTCTCTCACGTTGTCCTTTGTGGCTGCTTTTTTGTGCGCATTTATGAGGCATTGTGAACACTTTCTATTTCATCTGTTTTTAGGCAAGTGATTAGAGATGGCCACTGGTATGTCCTTCTGCTTTATTTTCCTTCTGTTGATTCTATCGTTTTGACTTTTTCTCAGTCATTTCTGTTACTGGAGAAACTTACTAGTTATTTATTTTATGGTTTGTCAATGTTTGAAACTTTGCCTTTGCTAATATACTTTGAGAATAAGCTGGCATTGCCTTGTCTTGTCAGTGTCATTTCTCTTTTCTGTAATTGCTAGAGAAAGAATTGAAGATTTTGTTTTGTTTGAGTTCATCCATGCTTGTTTCAATCTCATTATAAAGGTGGTTGGAAAGCACCACTGGTAGGTTCAACTCTCCTCCTCTCCTCTCCCCCCCCCCCCCCCCTCTCTCTCTCTCTCTCTCTCTCTCTCTCTCTATCACCGCCCCCTCCTCTCCTCTCCTCTCCCCCCCCCCCCGTCCCCTTTCCTCTCTCTCTCCCCCTCTTTTTCTTCTCTCCTCCTCTCCTCTCCCCCCCCCCCCCCCCCCCCCCCCCCCCCCCCCCCCCCCAATTGTTTTGGTCTGTGTCTTACTCTTGCCCTGCACTTAATAACTGTGATCTCCTTACCCAAACAACCAGCCAAACAAAATGATCTGTCTCATTTTTGTATGTCCAGGCTTGACCCTTGACCTGGATGCTGACCATCTGTACTGGATCAGCCGTGATGCGGGGGCCATCTTCTGGTGTAACATTCGTGGCACAGAGTTGTGCCAGCCCCAGAGGAAGCAGGAAGTGCCCATTGAGGCGCCCATTTCCATGACCATCTACAATAAGGTCAACAAGCTCAACAAGAAGGAGCAGGTCCTCTTCTACGCCAACTACACCAACATCTTCAAGGTGAGAAAGGGACAAACACTGTGATAGACTTTGCTAATAAAGGAATAAATTGATAAAAATGAATAAATCATTTATTTTATTTGATATCTCGTGGATGGTAAAGCCCATAGAGCTTACAGTTGAGCTGAAATTTGTGCCATCCATCCATCCATCCATCCATCCATCCATCCATCCATCCATCCATCCATCCATCCATCCATCCATGTGCCTTGCCTCTGTCTCTGTCTCTGTCCCTGTGTCTATCTCTCTGTTTCTGTCTCTCTGTCTGTCTGTCTTTCCCTCTCTCCCTTTCCCTCGCTCCCTGCCTCTCTCTCTCTCTCTCTCTCTCTCTCTCTCTGTCTCTGTCTCTGTCTCTGTCTCTGTCTCTGTCTCTCTTTCTCTCCTTTCCTGCCTCTATTGTGAAAGCTGATTTTTACGTTTGATTAAAGTTAGTCTCATGATTCTAATGTGTTGTGGTCTCTTATCTATGTCCAATACTCTTTTTGTACACTAGCTCTGTCTTTGACTAGGGACTTAAATATGATTTCTTTAACTCACTATTCTAGGCTTAGATGTGATTCATAGAGTGGTGATGACGCTTTGTGTGCTGTCAGGTGAGCCTGTTGTAAGCAGGAATGCAGTACTGTGGAGGCCGTACCACTGTTAACGTAACCTGTCATAGCCTCTTTTTTGTTTTCTAATATATTTCAGTACCATAATGGACAACAGAAGATCATGAGGAACGATACGCCTACGATCTACGACCTACGAGTTTACGACCCCAGCAGTCGGAAAGCAAGTAAGTGGGAGGGGAGTGAAGTGGCAGTTCAGCACTACTCACTTGAAATAATAATTGTATATTTGCAACCTAATAGTGCTTATCCATGTTCTACAGCATACTCTATGTGCTTTACAACAGTTGTTACTCCAGGAGACCCGAGAATAAACATTGTTAGTTTCCCAGGAAGTATACCGTGCAAGCAGCTGATGAAGAGTTCAGACACAATCAAACGGACAAGATATTTCACTGTCTATAGCAGGGTATTTATTCTTATCTGGGGGAAGTAAGGAAAATTTGTGTAAAGTGCCTTTCCCAAGCACACAAAGTGTGATTCTTGGTGGAGCTCAAAACCATGACTTTTCAGTTACAAGCCCAACCTCCTTTTCATTTGACTACTGACAGCATAGGTTTATGTTCTGGAACAATTGTCCTGTCTACAGTGCAGTTCATTGATAGGCACATGTGTAGGGTTAGATATCAATATTGTTGTACAGCTGAACAATTTTTCATATATGCACCTTTTTTTCACGTAACATCTCAAAAGAGAATGATTACTCTGATACCAATGACAGCAAACTTTTACTTTCTTCACTTCTGTTATGATCCTTACCCCCCC